CCCCCCCCCCCCCCCCCCCCCCCCCCCCCCCCCCCCCCCCCCCCCCCCCCCCCCCCCCCCCCCCCCCCCCCCCCCCCCCCCCCCCCCCCCCCCCCCCCCCCCCCCCCCCCCCCCCCCCCCGCATAAACCTAACAATTCAATTTACACTCACTATTTTCTTCGAAAATATATGTGAGTTCCACAAAAGGGAAGAAAGCGATCGTTTTTTTTCATAGTCGAGAACCCTAATCATCATCCCGTCGCAGATAATAATGACTATTCAAAAAACGATCACTTTCCCTTTTTTTTTATGAATTTGCATGCGCTTTGACGCGTCTCTGAAAAAGTTTGTCTGCTTGGGTTTCACACTCTAGAAGTGGTCACTGAACGGTAATATGATCGACGATGACAAGGGCCAACTCTTTGTATACAACACTCGTACCAATAAATCTGACGATGAATCGTTAGCGTTTCTGTTACAATGTTGACTCATATTTATCGTATAATATTATGTATAACAAGTAGGAATTAATCTAGCATAGAACAAATAGTGAATTTATTACAAATCCTATGCATCCCATATTTTCTTTCTAGATTTTTAACTTAAAAAAATGAATAGGCCAATATCCAACCAACCAAACGTCAGAAATAACAACAATCACCAGGAACAAGGAGATATATGGATGTCTCCATCAAAATATGTAATATCTGATGTTTCGGCTGGATTATCTTTTCTTACTTCAGTTTCGAAATTATTTTTCCAACAAGAAGCCAGTCTCACACAAAGTATTTTTTGCGAGGAATAATGTTAAAAATCTTTATCTTTACTTTGCTTTAGCACTCACGGGTCTGTCAATGGCTCAACGTTTTCGTGTAATTAATGAGGAAGGCCAGGTGGTGTTAAATGTCGCTGAAAGTAACATCTATCTATCATGATTTGAAAATAATTTTGTATTTAATTATATAGATAAAAGGAATGTTGCAGGACGCGTGTGTTGTGCAGCTCGGCGGGGTTTTGTTCTGGAGGTTTACGATCTATCGAATCAAGTTTGAAGCAATTTAAAGTATTCTCACCGTTTTGTAACAATGTCGTTATAGGAAGTCATGAGAATTTCGCGTGAATTTAAATGCTGTGCTGGATCTTGTTGTTGGTGCGCTAATATTGATTGTTGTGCATATGAAGTAGTAGTTGAATCACCACCTGGTACTGTTATCGGTATAGTACGACAAACGTAAGTTCTATGCTATTGTTCTGTTGTTTATCAGTATAAGTATAACAGACAAAGTTGCTGGCGAACTCATTTGAGTTTAATGGATTCAACTGGTGCAGAACAATTAAAAGTTATTAGTCCATGCTGTATTTGTAAAGGTGTATTTTGTTGTTGTTGTGAAAATAAATTCAAAGTATTAAAAACAAAAATTTGTCATTCTATCTATTTTGTGAATGATTAACTTTCAGATAATGAGCAGTCGTAGTGATATTGAAATTGGTGGAATTTTCAAAGAATATGCTGGTGTTGTTAATCAAGCTTTAACTGGAGCTGAAAAATATACGATCAATTGTGAGATACAGATATATATATATATGTAGTTTCTATAAAATTCATAGAAATTGTCAAATGTTTAGTTCCGATAGATATGCCAACTAATTTAAAAGTTATATCATTGGGTGCATTGTTCCTTATTGTAAGTGTTCTTTTGTTGATTTTTGATTTTCGCTTTGCTTTTTTATTTATTAAGAATTTTCTGGAGTTTGGTGGAAATGCTGAAAGTAAGGGTGGTACCAGTATTGCAGCTATTATCTGCTCATGCATATCCTGAACATTGGAGATATGACTCTCGTTGCCTTTCTGTTTTTCCTACTATAGACGCGTTTAATCTAGAATGAAATAAAAGCTAAGTGTAGTTGATGCTTAGCAAAAGCGTATTCTTATGCTTTCTTTGCGCGCTTAAATACAACTTATACTTTTCGGCAAAACTGTAAAAACAATCTAAAGACTTCACTCAGAAAGAAAGTATCAGAGAAAAATCGCAGCTGTCTCGAAATAAACTAGAAAGAAATCAATTTTATCATTTTGTTTTCTAGCCAATTCTATTAGTCTTTTACTGGTTTCTTCTGATGTCGAATGTAAAGAGTACTGCGATCCATGTTCCAGCAAAGATGATATCAGAGAGAAGAATTTGTTCTCTCACATCTTTTTGTAATGCTTGAACTCGAGCTTCGACAAATATTTTCCATGTAGCTAATAATAAATGGATTAAAATACAATCTTTGGAGAAATATCTAAATTAGATAAAAACACCCAGATCTGGTAAAGAAATGTTCTCTTGAAGATGCGATACCATATAGAGAAAAATAGCAATAAAAATAAGCATCATACCCACAAGAGATTCAGACGTTTTTATTAGTTGAGATTTTTCAACTTCATCAGTTAAATGTAATTTCTGTGTTACTTCGTCGCCGTGCATCCCCAACGACAAAGACTATTTATACTAAGCACCATAAATGAGCCCATCAGAACATCAAATCCAATCTTTTTTTCTGAAATAAATTTAGCCAATGAGAATAGATGCAAAAGCCTCCATAGAAAAATAAATATAAAAAATGCATCAGAAAAAACAAGTAAAAATTGAACTTTATTTAAACTATTACGCATTCATATGATATGGCGGATGATCGTCTTATTCAATTAGGTGACATCATGTAAACAATTGAATTTGGTCGATGAGTATCTGCCAAATTTAGAGTGAAAATAATCTTAAGTCTTCAGCTGAGATCTCCTATTAAAAATATGTTGTTTCTCTGAAGGTATTGAAATTTTCCGAAAAAATGAGTATTTAAAGTTCATCATAAACTGTATGGAATCAAAGAGCTTAATGAAAATGAAAATTTATACTATGCCTCTGCAAGATAATTCAAAAGTAAAAACGAGTCTGAATGGAAATCCGAAGTCAATTCGATCTTTTTTCTATAGAACATTGAAGGTCATTACGGTCGAAATGAAGCATTTCAAGACGGATTTTCTCTTTATTTGTATGCAGTTATTTTCTCTATTTCTCATTTTCAAATGATATTCAATTGTGTCAATAATAATACAAAGAATATAAAAAATATTTTAAATACATTCCATCGCTTATCTCTACGTTCTCTCTCTGTCGGTGGCTCTATTTTTCGTCGACATATTCGATTCATTTTTGTTGTATAACCGTCTTAAGCTGTTGCACGTCTTTCCAATATTCAACTGATGGGTGCTAAGTTTGGCAAAAGCAAAAGTATAACGATCTCAGAAAAAGAAAATGAACACAAGAAACCAATGGATACCGCTGCCAGTAACAATATTGATGGTCTGAAAACACTTGAAAAGAAGAATGCAAAGAAGGCAATTAAAATTTCCAAGAAAAAGGTAAACCAATGTACAAGCACAAATGGTGGTATAATATCGCCATCATCTCGTAAACAAAAACTTGCTAATGGTCTTAGCTACAATAATGCATCGCATGATGTTTACTCTACTGAAGCAGATTGTGCCAATAGATCTCTAGCATCAAGTAAAGATATTCAAGAATTTCGCGAAGCCTGTATTCGACGTGGTATTATTTCGTCGGAAACGATTAGATACAGTTCACAAACTTTAAATGAACCAGATAATCAAGTAAATACTGTTCAAGAAACTTCAACGGCAATCGTTTCAAACGAAGAACAAGTTCCAATCGAACAACAAGTTTAATCATAGAAGACAAGCAAAAACTACAGTAAGAGATATTTTAAATCTTCTAATAAAGGATTGAATTTTATTTTTTAGAAATTATGAAAAAATCTACGAAATTGATACATGTTTTTACCATCAAACTCGAATTCGCTGAATTAAGTGTCATCGATTTTTCAGTTTTATTCCATTCTCGTGTTTTTTTTCTATTATAATAAAACATATGTATCAGTTTGTCATACAGTTCCTCTAAAATTTCTTTCAATAACTGGTCAATCTGATTTTCAAGAATATGAGAAAACCCAATTCTAAACTCATGACATCATAAATTGCATGTTACTTTATTTGAATCAATCATAAATTGTATTACAATCGAAGAAGCCTATTTTTCATTCGCAAAAATCGATCTTATGTTTTCAAATAGTGTAATATGAAATCAGTGCAAAAGAAAAAAAATAACAATTTTTCATGAGTATCATATTTTTTTTATCTCTTTACTCTATGCTTTCTGTCGCATTTCTGGTATGCCATTGAAGTATGCACTGTAATATTTGATCGAACAACTATGTCAATTATCAGCTTCTTAATTATCTACTTACCATACTAGCACGTTCATCTTCTATGATAGTATGTATGCGGTCTTTTGGCTTTATTCTAATATATTTTAACCAAAGATTCACACAGTAAAATCCACTGTAGTTTAAAATAGAATAAAACAAAAAACATTCGTTTAATTTACACACTTCATTTTTCTTTTTGCTGTTTTTTCTCATCCGATACGGTAATCACCAGACACATAATAAATAACCATAAATATAAGATTGAAAGAAATTTAAAAAAACGCAAAACAAAAATCATCTTCACATTAGGAAGTAAGAAAAGACGAAGACACGATCAAAAAAAGTTTATAATAAATGCTGATTGGCATGTAATAGCCTTGTATCAAATGGTCTTCGGTAAAAAATATTAATGTTATATAATCGTCATTATAAACTTCGATGATATCAACTCTGGCCAAAGTGTGACCAGCACGCTTCGGATCAGAAAACAAAAACAAAACAGCTTTGAGAAAATCTGAGACGGTTCTTTTGAGGTTTTTGAAAAAGGGAAAATGAGAGCATTATCCTGTCACTGGTAATATGGAATTTGATGAAGTTGGAATGGATGATGATTCAACGATAAGAGTCGGCGCTGATGATTGTGATGAAGATGAAGAATGTAATCCGTCGACTCGTGTACCTGATCCTAGGCGATATATTTTGCCACGCCATGTGATTGTTGCCGGACCAGTGAACGCTTTAAAATAGATGTAAAATGACGAAAGTTCTCGAATGAGCCATGCAACAGCAAATTCAAATTTCGAAAACGGAAGCGGGCCACCCTAAAATAACAAAAAGAAAATTGTTTAGAATAATTTTAAACGCTTTTTGTTTTAATTAATCAATATACTTGAGTTATTCTAAGTATAATATAATCACATATAAACCATAATAAAATATGACACGCACCAACAACAAGTGCATTCCATTCAAGTAAATAATTCGTAACAAGACCAGCTAGTATCGCTGATGAAAACGATTCTTGTAATGGTTCTATGTAAGCTAACGGACTCAAACGCATTCTCAATTTACACCATCGAATCATTCGATCAGTCCACGATTTTATTGAATAATTTCCAGAATTCTGTTGAGCTGGTGTTGGTGCAACACGTAATTTAAAGCCTTGCTTAGATACTTCATACGCTAGATAATAATCTTCAGCAATATAACGACCGAACGCTTTCAAGCCACCGACTTGATCAATACATGCCTTACGTATCAAACAAGACATACCCGTTACACAATTTACGCCAAGTAAGTTAATAGCCATGTACATACGAGCATGCTGTGTACCGAAATAAACCTGTGAAAGAAAAAAATCATCAGTATTCATTTTAACATTCTCTTCCTACTCTATTAATATTTATTTATTCAATTCAATGTGACGTTTCGTTGTAGTTTACAACTTCGTCAGCCATAATTCTATATACACTTGTTTACAATTTTTAATAATAATTGAAGATCATACAGTTAAATATCGACATTGTGTAAGAGACGAAACAGATGTAAAAGGTGTGACAATTAGACTGGTTCATTTTCTTTTTTCTTACTTCTTTTGATATTCCTTACATTTTATTTAATAGTGATACGGAACAAGACGGTAGTAGTATTGTTCCTGATTGATGATTCATGTCGGTATCACTATTAAATAAAATGTAAGGAATATCAAAAGAAGAAAGAAAAAAGAAAATGAACCAGTCTAATTGTCACACCTTTTACATCTGTTTCGTCTCTTACACAATGTCGATATTTAACTGTATGATCTTCAATTATTATTAAAAATTGTAAACAAGTGTATATAGAATTATGTTTGACGAAGTTGTGAACTACAACGAAACGTCACATTAAATTGAATAAATAAATATTAATAGAGTAGGAAGAGAATGTTAAAATGAATACAAAATTATCAACCTTCCTTAAAAAGCAAGAATTAATCGTTAGGGAAAAAAGTGTAACGTGCTCTTTAACAAAATATTGTTAGAATGACTTCTTCAAGAAGCAAAATATTCAAGTAATCAAAAAATAAGTCTGCTATAAAATGCTTGTACATGTTATTAGTTTTATTTGAATATCTAGTGGATTCTATACACTTGAATACTATATATTATTGACTGCATTTTATTTTGTTGAGCACTCGACAACAGGAAACCTATTGAAGTTCTGATCAGTGATGAAGCACACTATATTCGAAGGATACTTAAGAGTATTGCTGTAGAAGCAAGTCTTGAATAATAATGGTTTGAACAGATGATCTAAATATTGATTTTGTGAAACGTCTCGAAAAAAAAAGATTCCTATTCGAAATCAACTTTGTAATTTTTCAGGCAAAAGTAATTATGAATTAGTGAAAACTAAGAACCAAATATATGGATTCCTCTTTACGAGCACATGCTTAATTATCAAATAGCATATTTAACAAATAAACTTTTTCACGTTATAAATAGCAACCGAGAAAAATTTGCTTTTCTCGGAAAGGAAAAAAAAAGATTGTTATTTGAGTGTTTAAAAAAAGAATCGCAGAAAAAAAAGATGACTTTCACACTAGATTCATGTCTCATACTTAGTTTAGATGTTCGAACGAAATTATTTGAAAGTAGCTCTTCTTCTCCTGATATAAGTTACTTAATAGTATTCGACAGCTAAAACATGAGTCATCCATAAGTGGTGTTACATTTCAATGGAATTTCGATCCCGTTAAAAACAAATATTCGTCTAGTCGAAAATTTTCACTTGACATACATAATCAAAACCATAGAAAATCTACGACTTGATATATAAATTCGACAGAAGTCGAAATTAGATACCAATGCACTAAAATGCATATCAAGTAACGATTAAGCTACACAATAGCTGGTTCAATCACCATGGACTCATTTTAAATACTTGAAAACTTTCTATCATCAGTTTCCCTTAACGACAAGTAGTTTGAACGAAACGAAACATAATAATTACATATTCTTTATACGTTCAAACAATGAAAGTCTGTTGAACAAATTACTTCTCATCATAGAGGTAACGGTTCATATACGAGCACATGATACAACACTCGTTACTTTCTCTCCTGTATACTGAATGTAAAATTTTCAAAAGATGTCAAGGCCTTCCTGTTAGTTTTATACAAAATGTTTTGATTGGCAATCAAAATTTATTCCTTATACAAACCTTTTCAACTGTTCCAGCGAAACCTTGTCTATTAGCAGTAAATGGCATTTGATGAACCAGACCAACGTCTTCAGTCATGCATAAAGCCATTTCGAATAATGTATCTTCATACATCATTAGACCACTATCTGAGATTAAAAATAATGGATATTGAGCTTTCTCATAGGCACCTAACATATTAAATATCTTTGGATTTACTATTTCCATCGTTCCAGTCTTTAATAATGCATCACCGGATGAAAATTTTTGTGTACCTAAAATAAAATAATCAAAAATTTATTTTTCAGAAAAAAAAATAAATCATCTAAACATTTATAAGCAAAGAATGAAAATGTTATTTTTAATTCGTAATCATTATTAGACTAGCCATTAGAATTGCTAGGGTATTAAAAAGTCTTTTTTTTTAAATATATATATATACCGCAACATGTAGGTCGTTTTCGTGAAATCATTCGTTTGCTTGTTGATGGAATATCTTTGTTATTTGACACCGACCGAAGATTATCATTCTTCTGATTATCGTTGTCGTCGTCGTCATCATCATCATCATCGCTGTTGTTCTCCTGTCTTTTCTCTGCATATTGAGAGCCTGCGTGATTTTTTTGAATAAATTGAATACTACACTATACAAATCTATATTTATCATACATACCAACAAACAATTGTGATTCAACATGTGGATATTGTGCTCTCAGTCTTTCGATCATGGCGATCAATTCACTATCATGTTCTTGTAGACAAAAGAGTAACTCATACTGAAACGAATATAAAGCTTTATACAAATTTATCAATATGAAATACAAATCTATGCATACTCGAGGATATTTCAAATTAAAAAATGTCTTTAGGTTATCATATAAATTCGAATCAGCGCATGTCAACGGTTTAATAATTGATATTCCAGGTAACTCTTTTAGATTGTTTGGTATTTTTTTTCGGTGAAATTTATAAAAGCTAAAAATAAATAAAAGTGTTTTTTTATTCATTTAAGATTCACATTTGTTGCTTTGAATAACAACGAATTTTAAAGTGACTCTCGCAATGAAAATAGTTTTCAACTTTTTTTTATGCATGTGATAATGTATACTTACCTTGCAGGAGAGAAAAAAATGCCTATTAATTTTTGTTTTTTATGTGTTCATTTTAATATGATTTAGATTCTTTTATTTTGTTTTTTTCTGTCGCGAACAATAGCCGTGGAATGTGCATTTTTTTTTTCTTATTATAGTTGTATATGCCAACATTCATTTCATGCGGGGATGATCATGATGTTTTACTTAGGTTTCTTCAATTAATATTCTATTACTCGTCGTATATCTCTGTAGCCAAAAAGAATTGATAAGATAGATTTAACGTAATTAAACGTACGATATTTTATCATTTTCAAATATTATGAATTCATTTATTCCTTCGCATACATCTGTAAATATAGGGAGGAAGAAAAGCAAACATTAATCATGAATACCAACCAATAAAGAGTAACAAATAATCATAGATTCATCGAAAGAAATTTTTTTATGCCTATTGTTGTTTTTTTTTTGTTACCTATTACTATGACGAAGAAAAGGAACTGATTTTTTTTTTACTAACTAATTCAATATCTCATCTATATGAATATTCGATATATATATATAAACAATAATAATAATAATTTCAGCAAATTTCTAGTTAGCGTGTAATTTTTTCAATAGGGACTAAATTAGAAACGCAAAAATTTCTTACCCATAACTAAGACCACCGCAATGAAATAACCAAACCAATATTAAAACTAATATAGCCAAAACAAGACTGACAGTGAGAGCAAGTGTATAGATAATATGAAGAAACGACATGACCAACTATGATTGTAGGAAATAGTATTGCAATGCAAATTTTTCATAGATAAATCACTACATGTAGACTCATTAGATTCTGTTTTCACTAGAATGCAGGTGTACAGAACAACAACAGACGGAAAAGCAGATCGACGTTCTGATGTAAAGTAAAATTGAGTAAAAGAACGCAATGAAAAAAAAAGGACAGTTGTGACTTCTTAATAATATGCGACAGAAAGAAACAGAAGACGAGAAAAGAAGTAATGCATTACTAACGGTTCTTTGGAGTGTTTGGTCGGAGTATAAGAAAAGAGAATTTGGCCATGGCGACCGTCTTGCATTTTTTTTTATTTCTACTAAAAATCCAGTTCAAAACACCTTTCTTTTTTCAATTTGGCTGTTCTCAAGGGTAAGAAAAAAGTTTTAATAAATTTTGCGTTCTGAAACGTGAAAAATACTTCCCTACGAAAGTAGAGTGCTGTTGCATGCTTCGAAAAAAAAAGAAAAACCAGCACAATTTTTGTAAGAAGTGAAGGAAATTAACTTTTTCGATTTTTGTCAAACATGTTGAATTCTTTAACACAAATATACTTTCACCAAATGCAGATTATGTAAAAAATAACAGAAAAAACATTTCCCATAGGAAATTGTAAAAATAGAATTCTCTTGAGTATCTTTTTTTCCCACTTCTTGCAATTTAGTAAGCTAATCATTGTATGGTTTTGATCAAGTCTTATTTCTTATAATCATAAATAACTGTTTCGCTGTGAAATAATATACACATATTCTACTGTTTTTGTTTTATACGCCATTAAAATGATTTATTGACCGATGAATAATTCTATATACGCTATATTATCATGGATTTATGCAAAAAATAATAATAACCCCTTTTCATAACACCTACGCATATTATTGGTGGCTCTAAATGAATCACAATTAATTTGTCACCAAATAAATGCAAAGACCTATACGCACGCAAATTATATTTCATTGGTACTATTGAAATGACTCTATTCAAATATTTTTTCAAACATAGAAAAACAAATATTCATATTAAATTTTTTTTCTTCTTTTCTTCTAGTTCTAATAAATTATGTGCTTACCCATAGAAGATACCAAGCAAATGAAATATTGCAAGAAAAGCCCATCCAACAAGCAGTAAACAGCTCAGTATCTGTGAAAGAACATGAAAACCATCAGCACTATTAGTTGTAATGCCAGACATGGATTAACAGTTGTAAAGAATTCGGATGATATTGATATCGAAGAATGACGCTACGATAACAGAAAAAGACATGAATAATAATAATAAAAAATGAGGGGAACAGAACAAGTCATTGGATTCTTTTTTATTTATGACATTTTATTTGCCTACAAGTTTAGACTATAGAGAATACGAACACATAATAAAATGCGTCATCATTAATACCATGCTATGTGGCTTTGAGACTCGCGTTTCTCTTCCTCAGATTCTACTCAAACTAACACGATAGAGGGAACTTTTGGCTATAATTTTAAGCCGCATTAAAACTTCATCTTATTTCACGTACTCAATTGTATAATTATTTTTAAACTAGCCAATACAACTGTTTTTACAACAGTAGTACACATTTAGTTAAAGTCAATAATAAATAGATTAAATTGCTCTCGTCTTTCTGCATGTACTTCGAAAATCAACGCATTATTATTTGAAAAATGATATGTTTTACAAAACATTTTTTATCGACATTTTTATTCCTTTAATTGTATATCTTTACAGTGTAGTATTTAATCTCACATCACATTTATTTTATCAACAATCAGACATTGTCTAAAGTCTGATTTTCTGGGAAAATAATAATTGCATGCTTCCTTCAAAACAATCGTCGACAAACGTAGAACAACAAATGTTGAATTCTGACTCATTTATGTCTTGATAAATTTATCTGAAATAGTTAAGGTAACGTGTATGGACAACTTGGCCGTCTGATTCTTTCGGAATGCGAATGTCCGCGAAGAGACTATTCACACTCTATGAACTGTTTTATTTGATTATATGAACGAAAAAGACTATTGATTGAAAATATTTTTTTCTTGCTTTATTTTCATGATAATATTATTTATGAAATTCATATCGCAAAAACTTCATGTCATTGCGAAATTATAGGGTTAAGTGCTGAATTAATCGGGAAAACCTTGTAGAATTATTATTCTCGTGGTTTGGTTTTATAGCGATAGTGGCAAGAATGCAGATTAGAAAGTATGAATTCATTAGGGATTCATTCCACAAAGATTAAGTTTGAAACTGTTCGAGAATGAATAGTTGATAAAACTATTAATATTGATTACACACTATTCTCTATTCAGAAAGTTGTACATCTGCATCTTTATAAAAATGGAGAAATCTTATAATTGCTACAGTTAGAACGCGAAACTTTTTATTACATGTATTGAGTATTTTGTTTTCAAAGTACTTCTCTACTGAAAGAATACGGCCGCGAACGATGAAATACGGCCATGAATTGCTTACATGAACCGTTTGTTTACTACCATGTTCATTTGACTTGAGAACAATCAATTATAGGGGTGTATGCGTGACAGAATAAAATAACATTATGACATATCTACCATGAGTGCAGGATGTCGTAGACGCAGTTAGTTATACTGCGTTTGATATGAAGCAGAAAATCTGATTACGGTAATAGATTACGAACAACCTGTATCGGTATTTGTAGGTAGACATCGAGAATATACACAATGTAAATATTTATGATCATAGTTATGTAATCCAAAATTTCAATTTTGATATGAGCAGTAAATGATAGAATTAATTTCTTTATTTTCAAACAATATATTACTTAAATTTGCGTAATTTCATCTACGTGTGATTTCTTGGAACCAATCAAAATTAGTTCGCTAAAATTAGGATTTCATATGTCTAGAGATAGTTTCATAGTTCTTCTTTTTACTAGCTCATATCTGGTTTTTTATAAGCAATTATTAAAATCAATAAAATATTTTTCTAGCAACTATGATAATCAAAAAAATCGAACTCATAGTTTGAATTGAGACATCGTATATCGGAATAGAAGCAACGTGAAATCTTAATTTGCACTGATTAGATATGATCTTCTTCATCGAATTACAAGTAAATAAATAAAAGATTGGACATCACCTGGTCAAACATTTTACATGACATTAAATCTTAAATATTTACAATTAAAATTCACTTGAATTTTGTAAATCGAGTCTTGGTTAAAGACAACAGCAGCTTCAAATTAATTTTTAATGCGATGCGAAGCAGAAGCATTTAGGTTGTCCGTCGCGAGTTTTTTTTAAAGCGATGCGAAGCAGAAGCATTTATGTAGTCCGTCGCGAGTTTTTCTTTTTTTTTAATGTGATGCGAAGCAGAAGCATTTCTGTAGTCCGTCGCGAGTTTTTAATGCGATGCGAAGCATAGCATTTCGGTTATGCGTCGCGAGTTTTTTTTTTTCTTTTTTACTTGACCGTACGCATCTTTTCTGTCGTTTTGTGACTCTATGATCTCGAGAACCAAAAATCGTAGAAACCTCATTTAAACGCAAGATAGTAGTATCGAGATCGAACTGCTTACACCTGTTTTCGAATCTTTAATCTGACGTTCCGTTCGCTCACAAATGTGGTTCCGAAATGACGAAAATGAAAGAAATTTGTTGCAAGATAATTAAAGTGACGTCATGAACATATGTTAGCCACTATAGTCTATTCATTTACAGCTGATCTAAGATAATGAATCATGATGATAATTAATCGATCAATCGAAATCGATCCTTAAGAATGTATCGCTAAGTAAGAATAGAGTTTTCTGAGTGATGAATTTCATCATGTCGACATAAAAAGTATTCAAGATTTCTCTGAATTGCAGATTTTTCCTGGATGGAGATTCCTGCTTCGCATCGCATTTCGTATTCGAGTGAAACTTGAATACCATCTAGTTT